ACAAGGAGAAAGCACACAAGAGGAAAAACATGTTTATCGACCAGGGCAAACATGTTTGTGGAAAGGAAGCTGTTAAATCAAAGCATTTGTATCCTATTAATTGTATCCTAGCAACAAGAATAGATCTGAAGGGATGATATATTGTTTTATCACAAGGTAACCAGATCAGTAAAATCTGCATTATCTTTTGTACAAATGCTAACGTTATGTTTTAACCTTGGGGTTCAGTTTTCAGACACCCAACAGAGGTGTTTGTATACTTTTTTGAGTGAGTGGCACAACCAGTTGTGATCATTGAGTATATTTCTTCAATGCCAGCAGCCAGAAATGATGATCCTCCTCTTCAAGTCTCTGCATCTGAGCCTGTGCTCGTTTTCAGCTGTTTTTACAGCCTTGACATTCCCTGCTGATAGGGGGGGCTTTATTTGCACAAATATCCCAAGCACTTTCTATTTTTACCAAGCAACACAATTCAGTCCTCTCTCCTTCACAATTTGTGTTTTAAAAACTGGACCTAAAAGGCAATAAAAAAAGGTAAAAAACCCAAGTTGTCTGAATAAATCTCCTAATAACTGCACAGGTTCCCAGGGGAGCAATAGCTGGGGTTATTAAGTCCATGAGATGAGAGATAAGGCCAGATGAAGCACATTACTAAGATTGATTATATTGATTATATTCACATTAGTGTGAGTGAATGAGCATCCTGTCATGCGGATCAGAGACTACAGCCACTCTGAAGGCTGGCAAATGACAATCAGTCCTGCTGCTGTTCACATAGGGGGTTTGCTTGGAGTTGTCAGAAAACACAGAAGCACCGCTTCATTGAACCTGAGTGTGTTTGCAAGGCAGCCTGTATCCACATGTTGTGCCTTTATTGTTGCTGAGTTTGGACGGGTGGCCTTCTTGGGGAAAACGGTCTTTTCACATTTAGCCACTTTTTTCACCACAGCTGAAGAAAGAAGGCAATCGGCTGAAACCGGCACATTTATCACATTATGTTTTAAGACCATGAGGACTTTTGTAAGCAAGATGAGGCTACTTGCTTGGTTGGAGATTCGAAACTCCTCCTTATTCCTTTCTGTGTGGAGGATAGTCACTCTGCAATTCATGCGGTTTGATGAAAGGACACGTCTTTACACCTGATAATCTTAATTCTCCAGGAAAAGCTTGTTGGTTGTCTCCAAGCCCCCTTTCTCCTCTGTGGTCTTATCTGGTGAAAACAAAGCTTCTTCACCATGCCAGGTGATCTTGGGATGTGGTCATTTGCCCTCCTCTGTCTGCAGGCTCACGTAGACTGTATTCCTAGTCCAGAGCCACAGAGAACACACTGGACCATTGGAAAGATAGGTGTCAGTCCATAGCAGGCAGGGTTTCTTCTGATAACCATGACTATCTAGGGCCTCAGCAAGGCCTGATCATCAGACATGCTATCTGTGCCTCTGTTAATAAATAAAACTGCCTCCTATTTATCATTAGACTTTTAATCTAGCAAAGTGCATCAATTAAGTGCGATTATGTCTGGTCATTATTAATTATCTTCGGAGACTGTTGCACTTCTGTCCTGTTTTTTTTTTTATTAAGAGCATTGTAGTTAATAGATTGTTTTTCCACATAAGCGTTTAATCAAAGACCTGCTGTGCTAATTTGGCAGATAGCAGACAGTGGCTACAAGATGAGCTAATTCTCAAAAGCCTTTCGATCCTCACTGCACTTCGGTCGTATATACAGTATCTTGCTTGTGCTCCAGACTCACATCGCGCTTTGTCACGACAGCAGTGAGCTCTTCTGTTCATGAACACCATCATCTTTTCATTCATCATTTCAAGGCACTTCATAGGAAAAAGCATTTTGATGTCTCTCCCATGCTCCTTTTAAAAAATAAATGTTATTGCGTGAATAACAGCTCATTTTGTCATTTAGTCCAACCAGACCAGAGAGATACAGAAAGCAGTGTAATAGATTTATCTGTGAAAAGGATCAATCCCCCTGTCTCTGGCTCAGACAAATGAGTAGGAAGACGTCAGTCTGAAACCTCTAGCTCAGCCTCTGCATTAGAGTCATTGTTCATGTCTTGTATTGATTCCTTGGCGCATTGCTCTTCAGAAAGTGTAGGTGTGTATGTAATCTGTTTGTATGGTGAAACAATAATAAATACAGTAAGTATTGTTACATCGCTGAGTGGTGTGACCATTAGCACCACAGCTCCGGGGTTGGGGGTCTGATTCCAGACTGGGGCATCTTCTGTCTCCCTGTGTTCCTGTGAGCTTTCTTTAGGTGCATTTTGGGTTTTTCAACACCTTACTAAGTTCTGCTGGTCCATGTGTGCCCTGTGACGGAGAGGTGTTCTGTCCAGGATATTCTCCAGCTTTGAAATAAGCTAAGGTCGGATAGTGCAAGCGTGGTTGAAGGCTATGTATGTATGACTATGGCTAGGCTCCATAGATTAGGCTCACCTCTGTGACTGCCCCAAGAGACAGGGGCAAAATGCTGCCTTTAAAGAATAGCTCGCTCATTCATCACATTGCAGATGAAACACGGTCAAATAGAGGCAAGATGACCAATGAGCAGAGCCCTGATATTCATTAAAGGACTGAGTGCGGTATTCAGTAGGACTCCAGCTATCTGGTGTCTGAGGCTGAGTTTCAAAAAAGCAGGGTCTCTGTACAATCAGAAAAGTACACTGTTGTGCTTTCATTTCCTCATTATTTTGAATTATTTTTTTTCCTTAGAAAAAAAGTTCACTGGCACAGCTAAGCATTAGAGTATACAATATATTTGTATATCCTGAATAAGTGTGCTACAGTGCTATGTAAAATAACAAAACAAGAACAAAGCAAGCTGTTCCCCCACATTTAAAAAAGACTATGGCTCACACATTTTGCTTCAAGCCTCTTCATAATCCTCCTGCTGAGGCATGTTATCTCCTCAGGGACAGACACAGCTCAAGCCTTTTACTCAGCACCTGTTGCTTGGCTTCTGTGCAGCCTCTTTGTTCACAGCATTTCCTCTGCAACTCCTCTGGCCATTTCAGTGGGTGGAATTATACCAGCATGGATGCAGCTTTCAGACTGGTGCCACACAATCGCTTATGTGCACTGATAATCTTTGAGCCACATACTGTTCAAGCCATAATTCATAGGCCTGTCCCTCTGTACTAAGCAGTTTTTCCACCTTGCAATTATCTGGTCTTAAATGGAATGTGAAAAAAGACATTGTCAGCAGGAAGTGAAAGCTTGTGGGACGTGCTGCAGATAAATGCAAGAAACAGGAGTGTCTGCTAGCCCAGAGCATTCATGCACTCACGTCCTTATAGACTCATACAGGGTTAACACCTGCTGGGAGCATTGTCTCCACCTCTGCTGGGTCAGACCCCATACTGGTTCTTTAGTCCCACACTCAGATGCTGCTTTTGGATTAGAGTTAGAAGGGGGTGTGTTGCCATTTTGCATGATCAGAAAGGCATAGATCTTCTGAACCCCTCGGTTCAAAGAAAGCTTCTACCCCACAGCCATAAAACTCCTCATCTCCACCTCTTAAATCTCTCTACCCCTACTGACACCCTGCTGTTTCTTCACTCAGAATATTGCCACTGCTTGAAATGTGCACATTGCTGCTATCTGGATGCTGTTTAAGATGCCATGTTCCTGTCTCCAACAATTTGTGATGTCATGTGCTATGCCTTCTGTTTTGTCATTTGTCATGTGAGGAGACATCTGACAATAAATGTGAAATGTGGCCATGAAACTTGAAAGGTGGATTAAGGCTATCCTAGAGTTAGGATCATTTTTGTGCTGCAGCTCTGTTTTCTTCAAATGAATTACATGTTAGTAAAGGCAGCTCTAGCTCAGCTTCGACTGCCTTAAACTCCTTAGCAAGGGGCACTAGGGCAGGGCCAAGCCAGGAATGTTTCACAGCCAAAGACCCCCCAGTAGACAATAATGTCTAAGATATTAAACCTCCAAACAGCTGTGACAACAGAAAAAGCTGAACACATTTTTGCTGAATAGTGGAATTGTTTATTTACAGAATGCAGCACTCAAAAGCCTGAACTGTTGTGCACTATCCAAAAGATATGTGCTTTTACATACAGTTGTGATGGTTGCAACCAGGTGCATGGACTGGACATCACTTTACTTGAAAATGTTGCACTGCAGCGTATCGCACAGATAGTATGAGCATTATTAACATTACGAGTGTTGCTTGAATCAAAGAAGATGCTTAGAACTGCAGCTGTGCTGTGAAATCCGAAGGGGTTGAGATGCGAGTCTGAGCATTGTTTCTATCCTCACCATGCAGTCCTGTTGACGAGAGGAAAACAATCTCAGTCAGTGTGCTCCAGAGTCAAGAGCCCAGCTCCATCATTCGTGGTCAGGCTTTTCTTATGCTTGATACTTTGTGATTGTTTCGCGTGCCAGAGACTCTTCTTTTCTTTCAGAGGGCCTGCATTGCAAAGCTCAGAGGTGTAATTTCAGAACAGGAACAGGTGACGTGTTTCCCCGTGTGGTCAGCAGGAAAGAGCTCTTTGGCTTGGCTCGTCTTCGTTGGGAAATGTATCCACCCTGGGCTGCTCTGCAGCGAGGTGATGAACGGAGGGCTCATGTGGTCTCCTCTGGGAGTAATTAATGCAGAAGGGGATAGTGTGTGGAAGGAGCTAGGATTGCGCTCAAGTGTGCATCAGTACTTGATTGCTTAAAGATTGTCTCTGTGAAGGTGCAGCATCGCTGACAGGATCCTGCAGCCCTGTAGCAGCTAGAGCTAACTGGTGCACTTTCCAAACTCAAGTTTGAACTTTTCTTTTCCCTTTCCCTGCCCTGTGTTATCCTTCACTAGAGTAAGCATGCTTTTCTTTTCCAGGATTTAGCTGTGTGCTTTGGTTTCTAGAACACATGCTGTATATCCGCAGTTCCGCCTGTGAGGAATTTCAGGATGTGGTAAGCGGCTTGATCGAGGAAAGTAAGACAAAGGTTTTGACCACTTTTTTGTCTCCAATATGTTCCTAGGTGTACGAGCGAGGCACCAATGTGGACCAGTTTGTGACCCGCTTCCTGCTGAAGGAGTCGGCCAATCAGATTCAGTCCCTGCTGAACTCTGTGGAGAGCGCAGTAGATGCCATTGAAGAGCAGTCCTCCCAGTCAGGGTGAGCCATGATAGGCCGTTGAGACTCAGGGGGCGTGTCAAAACTGCTAAACCCTGCATCTCAGGAGGCTGGATCTTTGACGCAGGGGGTGTGTCCTAACTGAGTGGGCTGCACCTTTCAGGCTTAGTGGATGTGTCCAATTGCCTTTGCAGTGTTATTCTGTGAAACAGGGTGTCAGCACAAAATAAAACTAATGTAAATGTATTTGAAATAATGAACCGGGTATTTAAATGCCAGGCAAATTAAATCTATTCATCTATCCATCATTCATACCTGCTATATCCTACAAGGCACAAGGCAGGACTTCCAACCCATCTAATAGTCAAATTCTTTAAAATTCTTAATCCATTGTGATAGCTGTCTTTTTGGCCATTGAAGTTATGACCCATCATCACAGAATATTCATGAGGCAGAGGATAAATGATTATGGGATTTTTTAAAGAATTGAAAATTAACATAACATTAATGCCAGCAGAAACACAGGATTTAAGAACTGTGAAACATGTAAAATATGAGAGCTACATTTGCTACTACCAAACTGAAGGAATGAGATGTTAGATGTAATAAATGCCAAAACCTTGACATTTTCTGGTACAAAAGACAAGTTATTTGACAGAACCTCATCAGCTTTGGGTAGGCTTTCTTCTTTCTCCTTTTTTGTAATAACAACAGCTAAGAGTATAATGAATTTGCGTTCCTCCCACACAGACACTACCCCAGCAGGGGGGGTCACCGTATAGCAGATACCAGGTACGAGAGTCCTGTCCCGGAGTACCCCCCGAACAACAGAGTCACCACCAAAGAGGCCAAGAAGAACATCCAGACCGGTAAAGGTACAGCTTCTCTCACTCTTTCCTGTTCTGCACACAGGCTCCTGATCAAGCTATTTGAAAACACTCCTGCTGTGCCTGCACTGCCATTGTTGCTGAACGCTGTACACAGTGATCACTAGGGCTTGGACTGAGGGCAGGATTGAAGCTGTATATAGAGCTCCAGGCGGGTCAAAGGTTAAGGTTGTGCCCGTGGACATAACAGAAGTTGCAGGGGACTCTTGGAGAGTTTTTAAGAAGACAGATCAAGGATGTGCAATTTGACTGTAGTGATAGTTTTGTACATGTAGAGCTGAGCAATAAACTGTAGCTTCCTTTTTGCATATTCCTTCCGTTTTTGCATATGCCCATCTGATTAATTAAATTCAATGTGATTAAAGCTCCCCTCTAATATGGACACTGCCTCGGGGCTTTGGGTAATTTATTTCCGTACTTAAAGTATCCCCTCCTCCAGATAATTATAATTTACTGCAGTAAACCTCTGCAGTTTTTCTTGTTCAAATTACCCCCAAACAGAAATGACTTAGTGTTACTGGCAACATGGAATCCTTCATTAGATTGTTTTGTTTTAATGTTAGGATCTCTTTAATAACTATTGCCTTTTCAGACTTGTGGAGGAGACAGTTGCCTTTCAGAGTTCTCTCATTTAGAACATTGCAGTCAAATAAATTTGGCTTTTAGCTAATTGGCCATAGTCGCCGGCAGGAGACAGACAAGAGAATATATCTGTGAGGCACTTAATTGCAGCAACTTTGTCTGGTCCGAAAATGACTCAATTTCAGGAAGAATGATGTATAAGGAGACTGCTCAAAATGCAGTCTGTCTCTGGTCGTTTTTTGTTTCTTCCATTTAGTAAGCATTGGTATCAGAGCTGAGTCAAGTTCCCTTTAAGAAATGTTTATCTACAGTTGGAAAAAAAATAGGATTCCAGTATTTATTAGGACTGGGCTAAAGCTTTTACTGAAGTTGTCATAATTAAGTCACATAAAATGAGCTTTCAAACACATCTTTTGTATCAAAATGGTAAATAAAATACTTTTGGGTAGGACTTTTTATAGCCACGGGGATGTGTCTCATGTTTCTGTCAGTTTTTAATAAGATTAATTCTAAAGGAAATAGGAAGAAGGTCCTTCTGGCTCCAACTTCACAAATGAAATGCAGCAGTTTGGTTACAGAGACAGATGTAAATGAATCTCTTTGTAATGCAGCACATTTTTTTTCTCATATTATTTTTGTTTTTTTTCTTTCCTTTAAATGCCGTGTACAAAGCAGGATTTTTTTGACATACTTGCATGAATTGCAGCCTCCCTCGACGCCGTTTTAAGGATGTGGTGTGCTAGTCACCTGCAGTCAAAGGCCTTTAATTAAATGTAGAATTGACCCGATAGTACAGGATTACTGCACTGTCTAAACTAAACCCACTCTATCAACATGTGGCCCAGTGCACTGCAGTGTTCTGGTAGTAATGGTCTACAATTTAATATTACATGTCTGTGATATAAGGACCTTTCCTTAGTGAGCCCATACATTTGCAGATTGAGATGTCTGAGGGCACATTTAATAGGTCCTGTTGCTGTTTAGTGCAGCCATTGTAACTGCAGATCTGAACTGCTATCTAGCTAACCTGGCGTGTGCCTTGTGTGGTAACTGCAATGAGGACTGGAACAACTTCAGGTGATGTCTTTCCAAGGGAAGATGAGCCGAGGGAGTGTATCTGTTAATACCTGGCTTCTCATCTCCTTGCAGTGTTTTTAACTTCTCCCCTACAACTCGATTCAACATCTGTAGGCATTCAATTCTGTTATCTGTTCCCTGGAGAACTGTCAAAGCAGTCACCTGCCACGTCTGCTTCAATACACAAATCCCTGTTCTTCGCCTGCATCTGTCCATCAATAGTTTTCATTTCCTTTTAATAGTGCAAGCAAGGCATGAGAGCACCTGCGTGGTATTCTATCGCTTTTGGCCCTTCATTTTGTCACTCAAGGCTCATCAGCTCTTTGAAGATTGTTTGCATATCTTAAAGCTTGTCACATGGGTCACGTTACTGTTGAACTTGTATTTCAAGAGTCCTGATTTCACAGTAGGCGAAGGCATTCATGACTTTGTGTGGAATGGGCTGGTAGCCTCACATGGCTTATTTGCTGTGACCCTGTTCCTGCAGTGTAACCGAGCTCTAACAGGTCCAGTGCAGATCATGAAACTTTAAGGCGTGGGAATAAACTGCGACGAAGCAAGGCCACAACAGAACCGCTGCTTGACATGCTCAGGAAGGCCACACACAGCCTTCAGTTCATGGTCACTGGCTTTAGTAGGTGTGGCACACACCTCTGTAATTTTATGTCGAGGCTGTTGTGATAAAGCCTGTAGCTAGGGCTTATGCCCATGGTGAATGCTATGGACAATATGCAGGGGCTGGAGTGCTCTGTATTGGCTTTCAGCTGCAGGCTCCTCTCCCACCTTACTTTGTTACAGATTCTCAGGCATCGGGGTATCAGATGTCCTCCATGTGTTTGACTAGAGATGGAATTCATGCTGGCAACAGCAGATAGCAGATAATCAGCATTGAAGTTGTCCTGTCTGCAGGCATACTGGTGGATGTTGAGGAGGGAGAAACGAATGTCTTCGGTACATGTACAGTGTATCTATACTATTTAACATTGTACTGATGATGAGAAAAATAATTTTATGAGCAGCAAAACAAAACACCAATAAAATAATGGCCTTTCCCCTCATTAAAATAGAGCTCTTATATACTTAAAGACAGTTGAATACTTCTTTGGTTGCAAGCACTGTTATACTTAGTAAGCAGCATATTGGGACCGCGATGCAGCATTTATGTCCTATGCCCAGGAGTAGAGCTGCTGATATTGACGAGTTTAAGAGACATGTTTTGTTCAGGCTCCAGCGGACAAGGTGCTGTGGTAGCTGATGGGCAGTGTGCGGATGAGTGGCGTGTGTCGGAGATGCTCGGAGTCCTCCATTGAGCTGTGGCTCACAGTACTTGATGAGCCCAACTCCCTGTGGCACAACGGTCCTGACTGGAGCTCCCAGCTCCCAGTTCAGGGTTGGGTGGGTTTTGACAGGCTAAATACTACCTTAAAGAGTCATTAAATCACTCTGGACCTTTAGAGAGCTTGAGGAGGCTCTGCATCATTTATTTCCCTGGGGGTGAGGGTGCCAAATGCAGACAGATAGCAATCTTAAAGCACTCTACCTGGGTGCTGTCCAGACGTTATCTATCATCCTTTTTCCAGAATCCTGCCAGTCTGTCCCTTAGCTATTCACCTCTGTTAATGTGCACATCTTTAATTAAACATTTCCAATAAATTGAGGAACTGTTTTATTGACAGGTTATGTATATTGATAGTAAGTCAGGCTCTGTGCCTCCTGATTTCCTCCTGATTGTTACCATGCCTCTTCCCTCTCTCTGCTTCCCTTTTTCAATCTAAAATCTGTCTAATATCAGTGAGCATCAACAGGAATCTAAGAGCACATGTATTTCCAACTTCAAGCCCAACCTCTTAAACAAGCATTGATTTTTAAGGTCAGCTCCCTTTACCTCTGAAAGCAATTCCTTTACATTTCAGTTTAAGTTTCAGTCTGGGAATATTCCGGTATGAGTCATTGTAATTGTCAATTGGTGAAATAGGAATTTACCTCCTATTAATAAAGCAGTGAGATAAGACCGTCCATAAGTCTTAAAATAAGCCCTGATCCTGTATTTCACCTGCTGCACCATATTGTGGTCTGCCTGCACTATTCACATTTATTAAAAAGCTTGTGGGGATTTAACTTCTCTAGAATATTACAGGTCAAGTACTCCAGGTAGCCTCTGTTACAAGCACAGAAGCACAGCTGCAAAGGTGTTTGTGCATAATTTTAAAAAGATTGCAGTTTGACACTACAGATATGCAAGAAAAAGGAAGATCCTTTCTAAAAATGATCTATCTCAACAGAAAGAGGTGTGTGCTCAAACATGGTTATCTTTAATGGCCCTTAGATCAATCTTAGAACAGACATCTTAAATGCAATTTTCTGAAAGCCTGGTGTCTTATGTTTGTTGTTTCACCCTGAGTATCCATTCAAAACATGTTACTGTTTTTGTAGGTTGAATATTTCTTTTACAATTGATGTAAAACTATTCAATTAATTAATGGTGCAGTTACAATCGAGCAGTTAAATAAATAGACTAAACTATACGACTGACAGCTCGGTTGGACCACAAATCAGAAGACACTATGCCCTTCAGAAATTAAGTTTGACAGGCAATGTTCATTAAATAGTAAGTCCTGTGCCTCCTGATTTTACAATCCCTTTTTCCTTTCATTTTCTGCTTTCTGTTTTCTATATGAAATCTAGCCATTTAATGTTGGGGAGCATCTGTGAGGCAGAACTTTTACAGAGATGTTGATTTTTAAGGTCAGCTCCCTTTACCTCTGAAATCCAAAATGAATTTATAAATCTCAGTTTAAAATCTGCGAATTCCCAGGTATGTTCCATACTTCCTCAATGTACTGGATTCACAGCCCTAATCTGGAATGCTCAGTACACATTGTTTTCCTTCAGTGTTCCAGACACTTCTACAGTTCCATCTGTGTTCCCAGGTATTTGATACAGACGCTCTGTATTTAGATGTGAGGAACCATATGCTGGACAATATGGTCATTTGCTGCTAATGGAGAGAGAGTGCACAGGGGAGACACATGCTGCAGAAATCCAGGAGTCTTTGCAGAGTTGCTCTTCAATCATCTATATCATAGAAGCTCCCATCAGCTTTCTGTGACACAGACTAAATGACACATGCAACAGTCTACAGATGTTAACAAGTGGCACGGTGATTTTCCAATCTGTAGCTTGTGAACCTATTGCAGTAATTGCGAATTGCCGGCTCGGCTGTCTTTTGTGACACCTTCAGGCATTAACTGATTGTAGCCTGTTCGTTTTGCTGGCACTCTAGAACATCCGCTCGTAATTGAACTGGCACCGTAAGTCACAATGACGACGTTAAAGTAGAAAGTCATCTTACCCACTAATTAGCTGTTATCAATGAGGAGAGAAATTAAAGTGGCATTCAAGTTTGTATTGCTCTTCAAGGAGTTTTTAAAGCCGGCCGTAATGAGATTTACTTTCTTTTGCAGTGCAGCTCAAATTAACTTGGCCTCCCTTGTTTAGCCAGTGTTTTGTAGAACAACTGTCCTGGGTGTTGCAGAACAGTCCTTTCTGTTGATGGCTATGGCAGAGTAACTAAGTGTCACCAGGGAGGTGGGGTGGGCTTTCACTGCTTAAATAGAGCATAGCCTATGCTTATTCATTTATGTGGGTGACTTCTGTTTGTACCCCTTTATTCAACTGGTCACTTTCCTGGACCTATTCAAAGGTCCAAATGCAGAACTCCACTCGCGATTCAAGCCCTGTACCAGAGCAGCTGTCTCTCCAAGCTGTCTGTATTGGACTGAGAGCTGCAGGTGTGTGTCTTTGAGACAGTTTCAGGAGAAAATAAGTGCAAGTATTCGCTGAGGGGTGTGAGAGTGACATCTGGGGTGGCTGAGTTTCATTCAATTTCTCTTTTAACAGAGGAAAGAACACTGGGCAAGTCAAAGGATTAGTGGCTACAGCAGGGAAGAGCTAGTATAGTACATAACAAAGTGAGTGCTGTGGGTTTAAAGGTCTGAAGAGAGATGTACTGTTTTCTCTTCCTTCATCAGGGAAATCCAGGTGGGCAAAAGCAGGTTATGGATCAAGGAAGAGTGGGATGGCTGTTATCACAACAGGATTGGTCTGGCCTCAACCCCAGCTTCATTATTCCCCATACTATAGCTATCCAATTAAAGCAATTAGGGCGAGACCACTCTGGACAGGAAGCCAGTCCTTCACAAGGTCATGAAGACCGGCTGATCAAACCTTGACAGTATCTGTTCAGGAAGTGAGAGGAAACCGAAGTCCCCAGAGGAAACTCCTGTGAGCATGTGGACAACATGGAACCCCCAAACGGGAGGTTCCCAAAAGGCACCCCAATCATGAATCGAACCCAGGACCCAGGAGGCAGCAGCGGTAAACCCCATGCCATCGTGCTTCCCACAATTCAAGTGTGTCATTGAAATTAAGGAACTCGTGCCAGTTGGGACTTTCTAAATCCAGGGATCTGAGCCCACATACTTCACAATGACAGCTCTGGGAAAAGCAAAACCCCAGCTGTACGGAGGGGCTCAGCTCAGCCTGGTTGTTAAAATGCTAGCAGCGATTAACTCATTTAATTAATTGCTCAGATCAATACAACACTGAAGGAAATATTTTGTGTATCAAATCCCACAGTGTTGACAATTTGTGTTTGCCAAGGAAAATTGATTATAAAAAAAGAATGCACTGATATTTACAAACCAGGCTAGCTCAGTGGGGTGAAGTGTGTATGTAGATAAGGCTGCTTCCATGGAGAGAATACAGAAAATGGCCAAGTAGCTTCTATAAGAACTAATCATTTGGAACGCAATAAAATGATCAAACATCAATGATAATTCTGCATTTTCTACAAGTTCATACTACTTCTTCCTTTTATATCTCGAACTTTACTGACATGATCGGCTACAGAGAGGATGCTAGGCTCCAGACCTTTAGATTTGCTGTCAAACAAGTTTTAATGTTAACCACTAGCCTGAGACACACAGAAAATAAATACTTAATAGTACCTAAGGACCCATGTCATCAGATTTAATATTTAAATCACATTCCAGTTGGAACCTTCTGGACTTAGGCTCTTGAAAACAAGGACTGCAGAATTAAGAATTGTAATAACAACGTAATTACTTTGTAATTGTGTGAACTGTACTCCTTGAAATGCATGTACTTTATTTACATATAAGCCATATAACCAATATCGTATCTGCATTATGAAATTATTAATGTATTGATTATTTAATGTCAAGATGTGTAAACTACATTCTGAAATATTGCTTTCTAGTACATTGGAGTGTAGTTACATTTTTCTATACATGTTATTGGACATAATCCTGTGACAGAATTCTGTGACCTCCATTCTATACTTGTAAAATGTGCTTCTTAATAATAATGCATTTACTGTATCAGTCATTAGATTTAGATGAAAATACATGTATTTCAAAATGTAGTTGCCAAATCATTACAAGGTAATTAAAGTGTAAATGCACAATAATGAATGCAGCTTTATTTTGAAGTGTGTCCATTTCTGGCATGCACATCGAAACAGCCCGTGATGAGGGCAGGGGGTTTCTGTGAGCCCCCGCCTGACCTGCCCATGTTCCTGTTTGACCCCCGCAGGAGTGGTGGAGATGAGAGAGGAGGGGCTGGAGGCCCAGATCAACAGGCTGGCAGAGCTCATTGGACGACTAGAGAACAAGGTAAGAGCTCTCCGGAAGACTCTTTGCAAACTGAGCGGCCTAGTTGAACTCTCCTGAATCCACACCTCACAATACGAGTTCCCCTGAAGTGCCGCTCTTTTTGTCTGTTCTGGTTTTGTTCGCACCCTTCCGTCTTCCTTCTGCAGTGGCGCAATTCTGAAGGCTCGTTCAAGTTTTGCCCGCACAGCTATGCAAGAGAGCCCTGAGGGTACCATCGCCCTGCTCTTGCAACTCCTTCACTTGACTCTTACTTCATGCCTGTAACCCGTGCTGCTGGGTGGGGAGTCTTTAGAGACTTTCAGAAGCTTTTTTTCTCACATCTGCCTTCATTTCCCCAATCTCTATAAGGAATATCTAACGATCTAGTTATCAAGTTTCAAGGCTCAACCTATTGTCAGACAAACAGACCAGCCAAAACTCAGAAAATGGCCAGAATCAATGTAAAATTTGGCCCTGCTGGCTTTAATAAACCCTCAGAAATGTGTCAGCAAGCTACGAAAAACTCCAGCCTAATTATTCTCTGAACATTCTCGGCCAGATAACAAGATTTCATCTTTACTTGTGTTTGAAATGCCCTGCAGTAACCCAGCAATTTACTTCTTGGTTATTATTGTTTTGCTACTGTATGGGCAGAGAAAGAGTAATTATAGGGGCCTGACATTCAATTGCAGAGGAATGTGCAGCAATGTCTCTTGCTCGCTCCATCTCTTTCTCGCCCATTCCCTGTGCCTACAATCACTGAACATGAGCTAATGGAGTCTCCAGTTAATATCGCCTTTCTGGGAGGCAATATTTTATTGCATCTTCTAATAACAGACAGGTTTGTGAGCACAGACATCTCAGAACCGCTGTGCTGGTTTTAGAAGGAATCAAGGTTGAAGGCTTTTGAGAACTTGGTCCCTCTGTAAAGCTAACAGGAACTTCCACTGTCAAAGTCCTAATGGGATCTGCTAGATCCTTTTGGAAACATCATGCTGGCAAGCATGGCTAATCATGTTAGCCAGTGGAGTTTAAGCCTCGACTACGTCACATTGCCCCTGCAGGAGCTCTGGAAACAGCACAGTGAGAGCTTGACCAAGCACCAGGTTCATTAATAGCAGAGGATTTTTAATTCATGGTGAACACGTGATATTTGAATCTGTTTCAGCTTTGGTTTCTCTTGGGAAATCGGGAGTAAAATGTCTAGGTTTTTCATCGCATTCCCCACGGACTTTATTTGTAAAACTGTCTTCGTGTGCCACCTGTCACTCGTTTAGCTCAGGATTCAGGACTTTGTGCTGGACAGAGTCACATAAGATCATTGTCCTCCTCGCTAGCTTGCTCTGGAGGTAAGCGTTCTCTAATTGGTCAAAAAGATCGGAGGTCAAAATGACCTTCATCATGTACAGCTCTAGCACAGTGGGGTTAGTGACGTCTGCCTGTCAAGATGGGGTGACTATTCCTCTGCTGCAGTCCGGCGCCACCTTCTCCAGAGAGCTCGAAATAAGCCCCAAACAATAAGCTGAATATGAACAAGGAGTGAGAGTTACCATGGAGAATGTGAAGGCAAAACAAACATCTTCAAGGCTCACAGTGAGATCAAACCGGTGTTCCTGGATTGCTTTTGCAAGACACATTAAAAATGGCATGCGAACCGCAGGATGCCTGCAGCTCCACCTAGCACTCTCTCCTACATCAGTGAAAACTTGCATGTGTTCTCATTGAAATTCTTATTGGTGAAACGGTGTCTCCTCCATATAAATAAATAATAAATAGTGCTTTTCTGGATACTCCACTCAAAGTGCTTTACAGGTAATGGGGACTCCCCTCCACTGCCTCCAGTGTGCAGCTTCACCTGGGTGATGCACCAGTACACTCCCCACACACCAGCTCTCAGTGGGCAGGAGAACAGAGTGATGAAGCCAGTTCATAGATAGGGATTATAAGGAGGCCATGATTGGTAAAGGCCAGGGAGAAATGTGGCCAGGATACCCCTAGTCTTTTCAAGAAACACCCTGTGATTCTTAATGGAATGAGAGTCAGGACCTCAATTTTATGTCTCATCTGAAGGACGGCGCTTTTTTTACAGTATAGTGTCCCCGTCACTACACTGGGGCATTAGGATCCACACAGACCGTGGGGTGAGTGCCCCCTACTGGCCCCTCTAACATCTCTTCCAGCGGTAACCTTAGTTTTCCCTGGGAGGTCTCTCATTCAGGTACTGACCAGGCTCACCCCTGCTGAGCTTCAGTGGGCTGCCGGTTGTGAGTTGCAGGGTGATATAGCTGCTGGCATAAACTAATTTCAGAGTCTCCACCTCACTTCTCCCCTCAGTCCATCCTTACTTACCCATTAGTATTCTACCTTCTTTCTCAGAGGTGTACTGGTATCTCTTTCTGGCATTTGGGATGGTATGATAAAGCATTTCTCAGCAGCATGAAGACACATGAGTGAATTATTAAGGTAGTACAGTCCTTGTCAGTCCTGCTCACCCCAGCACTGAGCCTTAAAAAGGCATACTGTCCTAGCTCATAATTTTATCATTGTTATTCCCTCAGTCATTGCTGTATAATATTTAATTCTGTTTCCCCCACAGCACACCTAATGTTGTGGTGTAAAACTCAACATATTAAATGATGCCAATAAGCAATGAAATACATCAATCTCAACCACCCTCTCTATGAATTATTTTTACCAAGAGTGACTTATCGAGGAGGTTTCATTTTTATGTTTGTCCTCCATATTACTTTAAAAAGGAAAAGAGAACATCTAGAAGCTGTACCGATATGCTTTGATTAGAACAGGCCGTTGAAAAAAGGTTGACTCTTCCACACGGCTAAAACTTTAACACTCTTTCAGACAGTGCACTGTTCTGACAGCAGAACCCAGCCCGCCCTTTCACAGTCACTGTCACAGAGCTGTGCCGATCAAGAGTCAGAGATGTGCAGAACTCATCGTTAACACACAGCAGTCAGAAACTCAAAGCACTGCCTTACTCATCATACTACATAGTACTACATGAGCAGCAAGACAGGTCTACTAAAAAGACAATCGGGGATGGACTCTAGCTCCTCAGTGGCAGAACAGACAGTTTGTGTCGTATGCTTCGTATTTCCCACAAATGGACAATCTAAAGCATCACCATGTCTGAGGCTCCTTTACATCTGAAGTTCACCTGAACCCTTCCAGTTTCTTTAGCCTGCTGGCTAATCAATCGATGGCTGGACACAGCCGGGCTGAGGAGTGATGAAAGGCTGAAGCCATAGACTGATGAGAGCATGAAAAGAGGCTGGTGAGCTGTGGACTCAAGAAAAAGCTGACCTTGCCATGGTTTGTGGGCCGTGCCAATATTTTGCATTTGTCTGCTACAAAAGCATGCATATAGGAAGATAGCTGACTCTGCTCCTTGTTAATATCGTTCCAGAAGGTGAATTTTTAATGCTCAACTCTAGACAACTGGCAATGGTTTCCAGGCAAATATAAATTGGTTCCTAGCTTCAGCACACACTGTACTGCACCCTGTCACCTCCTGTCAGACCTCCCATTCCACATAATGCTGTTTCCTGACCTTTGCACGACTTCCCAGAATCCTCCTCATTAACCTATTTGACACACGGAGATGCCAAAGCTTCATCCAGCAGTGTTTCAGTAGCAAGCAAGCAGATTCACTCCATCTCTCCCTGCATAGTCTGAGATACAGTGGACAGTGCTGTGAAATTCTGAGGCCCATAAAAGCCCCAGGATGTTTTGGAGTTCAAGTCTCAAAAATCTGCAGAACGTGTAGCACAATGTGAAATGGCTTATGATGAATATGGTCACAAGCAAGACAGAGTCGCTGGACAGAGCTTCGTCATCCTTGACCAAAAAGTCTGCTGATGTCATTATGGCTGAATCGCTGGCTTCTTCTTGCTCATGAATAAGCAAGATCATTTAAGGAATTTTAGAGTTTAAGTGACTAAGACTGCCGTTTGTTGTCATTCTGTCTTTGGCTCACAATTAAAGGCCTGCTGTTCACAGTCTTCGTGGTATTATTATATCATAATATCCAACATAGCAGACTAATCCAGTGTAGTTATTACATTCTGATGCATATGATCGCACACCTCTTCAAAGGTATAGAAAAATGTTATCAGATGTATTTATTTGTATATTTATTTGTTATTTTTCCAAATTTGAAAATTTCCAAACAGATGTTCTCTGTAGTGAACCGAAGTGCCGCCAGCAGTTGAAATGAATTTCTCTGTTTTGTGAAGAGAACACAGTTTCATATTTCTCTATAGTTTCATTCTCACCTAATTATTTTTTTTACCAACTCCAACGTTTGACAAACAAGGGTCACTTTGCCCCCAGAAAAGAGTACTCCAACAGTCAGAACGAAAGAAGCCACTTTGAAGCTTGTGCAGTGAAAGGGTTCTCTCTCCTGTGGAATAAATATGCTCTGTTTGGACAGCCAGGAAGAATAATTGTGGATTTCCTGTTTTTTAGCAATTTTGTCTGAAACAAACAGCAAGGTGGCATTTCCCTAGAACAGCTACTTTGTTCTGCCTGCAGAAATCGGCTCGTAACTCATAAATCTTAATAACGGATCTCTCCTCACAATTGGGAAATGAATTATTTTATAACCTTGTACCTTGGAGATACCTCTCAATTACTAGTTGTCACCAATTTACTGCACCCCAGCACTGAGACTGCCAGCAAAAAGGTGTAAAATAAATGGGGTACTATATTTATTGCAGCCAAGCCATTATTTTTTATTCACTTACATGCCAAGTGAAGATTTTCGCAGAGACAGGTTGCATTTTGTTCGTTTTAATGTGGTGAAAGCTCATTATAGTGCTTTCTCTCTGCTTACTGTAGGGTACTGCACACATCAGCTGCATTAATGAAAGAATCAGTGGGCCCTGATAGCATAGTTACAGTCATTCAGAAAAGCAGCACTCAGAAGAGCTGAAGCATCTGCAATATATTTTGTTCATATTTCAATGGTTATTGATTTTGTTCCAAAAGGACGGGAGAGCGCAGTATAGAACAATCATTTGTTTTAATCACGGAATCAGTTCAGTCTGTACACATCGAATAAAATCTAAATATGTCAAAAATGTGCCGAGCAATGAGCAGAAATGATGAAAACGTGTTAGAAAAGGAATGCAGATTTGGAGCTTTGCAGAAATGAAGAATGTTGTTTCTCAATAGCTTTCAAAGCTCAGTTTACAGTATACCGTCTGTATTTCTACTTTTATCCCATTTTTCCATATAAGTACAGGAAAAATGGGATAAAAGTAGAAACAGGAATATTATTTTGAACCACTGGTTCATGTAGATGATGGTTTAGGTCATGAAATACTGAAGGTAGCCAATAAACTCTAACAGTCTTGCTTTCCGGTGCTCATTAACGAATCGTTCTGGGTAACATAGACAGGTAGCAAGGTAAGGCAGCAGAAAGATACAATATATTTTAACCTAAAAAGGACTTGTCCACTAATTTATGGGAAGGAAGGGAAGGCTCCTACAGAACCAAGTCCTGTGTTCCATCAGGAAGGATATTCTAGGGTATTGTTCCAGAATTCCACTGCTCAGTAGCTGCAGTGAGGTTGAAAGCAAGCTAGCACCCCAGTATATTGTGTGGAATTATCAAGCCATTACTGTGTAGCCCCCACTCCATTGCATAGCTTTCAGTAATAATTAATTAATCATTACAGTAACAGATTTGCAGTGGGCTGTTTTGAGTAACTTGACATTTTTATCATTTTTGACTGTGGGCCAGTGAGAAGGACATTCTTATAACAAAGGCGGCATTTTTGATATTTTTATTTCTGCAATCTGAGTACATAGAAACGTGAACCTGTTGTTTTCCATTACTTTCGTGATGCCGTAGAGAATGCAGACATACGTTTCCAGGCCTGGAAAAAAAAATGCGTCGCCCTATGAAGACAGTGATTGATTTAAAATCATTTTTTATCAAATAAGTACAGCCATAGATGTTAGCAGATCATAGAAATACCGGTCCCACTACTGGTTACTGCAGCACGACCTGCTCAGTGGAAATTCATGTGTGGTTCTCTGTGGTTCTTGTTGCAGACAGTGTGGTTTGACCTGCACCAGAGGCTAACAGACACTGATGGCACAGCCAGCGCAGTAAGTAGCATGAACTCAGTGGAGCACATTGTGGGACAAATCACTTTCAGCTTCTTGAGACATTTCACAGTTCCATTCCGAAATCCTCACTTTGCACCATGCATGTGCTCTGAGCAACAGCCTTTCAGTCCCCATTGCTGCATTCCTTGTTGACATCACGTGCTGGACCCTGCCTCCCCCCAGACTTGTTTGTCCTGACTTTCTGGTCTCGAAGACTGTGGGATGGGGTCTCAGGCTCGCTTTGCACCTGCTTAGTCATCTGACATCACTCCCAACTCCCAGCAGCTGGGGTTGCGGGATTCAGAAGCGCTTGGCATAGGTGACACGTGGTGCAGTTCAGGGTCTTTGCTGTATATCCCAGACTGCAGTGAGATGCTTGTCATGGGCTCTTTTCCAATGGGTTAAGTGTTGGGCAATGATTCGTGGATTTAGATTCTTTTATACAGAGTGGCCTGCAAAATTGTGCATTGTCTGCTATACAGTCAGCTCCTAGTGTGTATGAATGCCAGAGTATGTTCTTGTAGCCAGTTTAAAGCATGAGCATGCTTTATGTTGTGGTGCATGAACTTTTCACTTGAAGCAAATACAGTACATTCTCAAAGGTAAGATCACTTTTGTGTGTATTTACGTATAGAAGTGACCAGGTAAAACAATCCCCATATTTTTCAATGTGAAAGAACAAGGAAGTGAACTTTGGACAGCTCAGTTCATACCAAGGACAAGATTAGAGAATTAGATCTGTGCTTAATGCACTTGTATACTTTCATAATATATGATGGCATGAAAAGCTGGAAAGTTGCTTTTTCACTGGAAAGAAATGCAAATTATTTTTAAAGGAAATAGCTGTTATATATCCAGTGTAATATGTGCTGTAGAAGAACCACAAATATGTTTCTGCAGTATACGCTTGTGTTGTATTTGTTTTAAAAGGAGTCGTATGGAGCTCTTTAGATTGGCAGGGAAGCGCTGTCAGGTTGATAGGTTTCCCAGTAGGATGTGAACAGTGGATTTAACTACAGCCTCGTGAGTCTGCTGACAGAGATAATGTTTAATAATATTTTGAGTGAGCCAGGTACATTTTAAAGATGTGAAATTACATTTTATGTACATTTCCATAAAGGGAAAATCATGAGTTGTGCTAAGAACCTAAATTGCAGCTCTGCGTGTGAAGATATCTTTTTCTGAGGCAAGCATTTGCTTTGTTCCCATTAAATTTCTTTTTTTTTAATTGCCAGCATGCTAATTAATGTAAGGATTTATTTTATTTTTCCAGTCACGTGACACAGCCCTTGGTTACAGGCATAGTACAGCAGATATGTCTTCTGTCTCTGTGGTGTGCAAAACGCACTTGAAACATGTGCTTTCTCTGAAGTGAAGAGGACTGTGAAAGAATGGCTTTTGGTAGCCGTCCCTTCCCTCAGAAGAATACGTTAAAACAATTTTGAGCTCAGCCCCAGGAATTCAAAATTGATTTAACTCTGGCATTATTCTCGAAGAATCATATGAAATTGAATCATCCTTTATTACCTGGGAAATGTATATTACATTTGTCCTTGTCAGTTTTTATGCTTTCCCATTTATACCTCCCAGTGGGATTACCACAAGTTTACCTGACAGCCTAGCATATGACTGATGCTTGCTTGTGCTCTCTCATTGATTTATGTCTTTATTATGTGTATTGGGATGAATTAAGAGTGCAAACCAGGTGCCAGGAATGCCAGCACATGGTAACACAAAGCTAGTTAGTGCTGTCTGATGAACTGGATCCCACTAGCACAGGTTCTTGCCACAGCTGCTGTTTAAGGGGCTGCTAACAGACATTGTGCACAATCATTACATTACTTCTGCTGTCCGTTTAAGGTGATCTCATAATTAAGAACTTGCTGAACTAGTCGTACGAGGTCAATAATCCAGTTGGAATGATACATACCTCTGAGGCTCTTCCAAACAGAGGACCAAACTGTCTGCTCTTCTGGAGATTTTAGCAAAAATCTTCTGGAACTCTAAATATACTCCGTTTTTATTCATCGTCTGACCTCCAACCACTAGGGGGAACCCTACATTTTTCTTCTTTCAAAACTTGTGAATGTCAGCAACATTCAATTTCAGGTGGTAGATCACAGACACTCACACTCATACACGTACACTAGACTCTGAGGGAGAAATGTAACTTTAAAAATATATTCACAATCCATGAAGAGTTCCTATCTGAGCAGCACTTAAATAAAAAAGACAAGCTGCAGGGAAAAAAGGTCAACCATTGGAAAGCCATCCTAAATGAACCACTTTATGTTGTTGGTGGCATTTTAAAATATGAAACATTATTGCATTGTCTGTTATGCTTATTGTTTGAAAGTTCAGGGAAGCCCAGTTAGCTAACACCAGCCCTGCTGTGGACATAGGTTCACGCTTCTGCTAAAAGTCGTTTTGGAGAAGAGGCTTTCTAAACCATGTTTCAAAATTCAATATGAACAAAAATCCTTGTGACTTAACCCCATTATTTTCATGCTGTATCAATTCCCCTTAAGTGGCTACAAACGTGTGAAGTTTTTGTGCAACGGAATAGGTTTTATGGACATTTGAAAATTTGATGAAAAATAATCTTAGCAATAGCCGGCAGCTGTATGTTTTGGCGCCCTGAAAAATCATTATTTTCCTCTTTACAACAGCAGTCGTCCCTTTGATACCTGGATAATGAGGCTCAAAACACTGGAATGTTGGTGACAGTAGGTGTGGGAATAAAACGCAACAGCCCGCAGCTCCTGAGGGTTTTCAGATGTGTGCCGTGTGAAGGAATTATCTAGCCTCAATCAAAACCAGGGGAGATGACACCAACTCAGGCTCCACTGCTGTTGCCACATTCCTGGAGAGGAACAGCAGGCGTGCGTCAGTGGCTGATATGAGACGGTGATGGACAGCTCTAGGCCTATCAGACATCCTGTTCTCGATGGATTCTGTAATCAGCCGCTCTCTGTCGGCTCTCATATCTTGTCACACGCTCCACGGTTGTCAGATGTTAGAGACCAGAGAAGGAGCAGTACTGCTTCACTGAGTGACCACACGGTCTACCAAGGCATCAGGCCATGTGTCACTGTTCACTGTAATGACTGACATAACAAGGCAAGTGCGTTACCAGACAGATTGCCATGTTTCAGAAACATCTGAGTCCTTATGGGCGTGCATTGGTTGGCAGAGATTTGTGAGCACAGTTTAAAAGCAGGGCTTTGTAATTTATTTGCTGATTAATGCTAGCTCCTGAGGGGCTGCTTATTTGCTATTGACTACCAGCCGGGTGATTTTATTAAAAACAGGTGAAGTATCAACTTTGTTTCCCGGCAGAAAGCCATGCTGAGGCTTCTCCTTTGCCAGCACGCTTCAGCCTTGATCAGTGTAAGTAGGGCATACAGAAATTGTGCTGCCCTTCAGTGCTACCGAGGCAATCATCCCTGTCATGAACTCTCTGAGGAGTCAAAGGCCGGAGTGGGGAGTGTAGCTTTGAGTCTAATGGGGGCTGCTCTGCCACAGCTATTATAGTTCAGTCTTCACCTCCTGCAGTTTATTGATAGATCTTTTCACAAACACAAATTCTTAAAAGCTCACTGCCTTATATGCACATATACACACCCATAGAGTATCATTTGTGTACTCCAAACAGGAAGATAGAGTGTGTGCTGCACATGTGTGTATGCTGTATATAAATACACATTAAATGGTACACATGTGCTATAAATGCCATTAGATATGGCGGGGATAATTAAGTTTATTTCCAAAACTTCATCTGCTGTAATTTAGGATTTCAGTGTAGAAACATACTGTAACTATACCCATGCAAAAACATACAGTATATACATCCTCCAGGGCTCCCTGCCATGAAACTGCCTTTTCAGAAAAAAACAAGATCTTTGAAAAGAGCCTTGAGGTACATCCATCTGAAAGAGATTTTCTGGCATTATTTGGGAAAGAGGGAGAGAGACCAGTTTGTCAGATTCCGTCACTATATTCTTATTTGGCTGCCCTAGCTTATGAGCCACGTTTCATCCTTAGAACAGCTGCCTGCTTTCAAAGGATTTGAGAGGCTCAATAGGTCAATAAGCAAGCAAATGAATAAATCATCCTGCTCTGGCTCTGCTCGGAGAGGGAGCAGCAGTGTTCGTTGGCAGGTACTGCTGCTGCCACAGAGAGCTGTGTGAGAGAAAAGCCACATGGTGCTTGGAGGGGGTGTTGTGGTGGGAGGTGGGGGGGTTACTAAGGTAGGATCGCTAGGTCGCCATGGCAACCGTTGCGCTCGGCTCCTGCAGTGGAAGGCCTGTCCTCCCCCCACCTGCCCCCTCCCCCCCCCAACAGCCCCAGGGGGCACGCATCTGTTCCCACTGTCTCCGTGCGGAGGCTGCGTGGGCCTGCACTGGATTCCTCCCCCCAGCTCCCTTTGGGGTCCCCAGCCTGTCCTTGCCTGCCCGAGAGCTGTGCGCCTCTGCCATTCTCCTGGAAATACAGAGCCCTGTGAGTGTCGTACGAATCGCCAGGCGCTTCTGTGTTTACTTATGGATCAAGATCTGCCCCCCTGCGCTCCACACACATTGCTCAAGGCCAGCTTCACCGCCTGAAAGACCTGAGAGAACAGAGGGGTAACAGATCTGTGCCTCATTCCTCTAAAGCAGCTAGTTATGTTCTAAGGCACACGGCATGTAGGATCTTCCCTACAGTCTTTTACCATTGATTACTCAGATCATGCACTCCTTCAACGTACAGGTTCCTTCTAAAACCACCCCTGGGTCTGAATACTTGTGGAGTTAGTTAACATAACTAGGTTAACTGTATAACTGAGAGCTGGAGAGGAGCGAAAACCAGAAGACACAGGGACGGGGTTCGAGACACCTGATCTTAACCCCTCAGGATCAGTGCTTAGCATTGCTGTCTTGCCTGGAGCCTGGAGCCCTGGGTGCAGTTCCTGGGAGGCTGTCCGTGTGGAGTTTAAATGTTCTCCCCGTGTTTGCGTGGGG